GTCAGCCCCACAGAGGGAAGTAACCGACTCTCCACACATGGTCCATTCAAATGACAACATATCAAATTACTGATGTAATTACTATAACCTGACAATTTCATTAGATTCATGTGGCAGTTAACTGCTTAGGACTTACAACAAAGGGACATGGTTCATTCATAGTAGTTTATATGGACAAAATGAATTTGAAGTCTGCTTTACTTTCAACTGTAAGTCTCATGTATTTTATTGTCTCCACTAAAACTGTTTTTCTTTCATTCAAAATTAGGGAAGGTGTTGGGTTATCTATCATACTTGTAATTTTCCTTCTCCAGCTAAAACATAAGCTTAATGTCACAATTAAACATTCAGAGCCAGCCAACCTTCGCCTGCCTCAACTTTGCTTTGGCTCCTGGGCTGTGTAGGAACAAAGGTATGGAAATCTGCGTGCCCTGCTGCTGGAAGAGACGCGGCAGCCCCTGTGGACTCCAAGCTAGAAAAGCAGCAACAGGAAGGCCTCAAAAGATTTGCCATAAAAATTAACAAGACAATACTCATTTTTAATTTTAATGTGCTCCCCCGCTAAGTCTATAAACAGAGTACCAAAAAAAGGTCAATTTAGCCGAGGTAAAGTACTTCACAACTCCAAACCATTAAGTGACATTAAGTACAGAGAGTACCAGAAACTATCATTTAACCTTGAACATGATGCTTCCCCTTTGACTTTTCACCAAAGAGCAAAACTGCCACACGTACATTCCCACTATTTAACCAGTGTGATGAGATATATTTAAAACACATATATTTGGTTCAATCTAGGTGGAGTTGGCACATGCCAAGTCCTATCCATTAGAGAGAGCACCCAAAGATGAAAATAAAAAGTTCTCAAATCATAAGCTACAATCTAGCTGGGAAGACAGATGACTTAACCACATTAAAATATAACCAGCAAACCTTGTCTGCTTTTATTTGAGTCTTGTCAAATTATGGATAACAACTGGTAGCCCTCAGCCTCAGTCCCACCAAGCTTGTTCATTAACTTCTTCATTCACTCATTAAACAAATATTTACTAAGTCAGCACCTACTATGGATTTCTCGTTATACCCAACATGGAAACTAGAAACATGGGTCCTTTCTCAGGAGCTCACATTCGAGAAGTCGGCTGAGCTCCATCTGGAAGGCTATTTGCCACTGGTTAGCATTTTCCTCAAACTGATATTCCCCAGGGAATGGACATGGCAATCCAGCCTCCCTAGTCACAAACTGTGCAGAAGCTAACCCGGCCTAATTGTTTCTGCTTAAAAATACTGATTTCCAGCCACTCCCCTACACTGTTGCTGAAACTCTCTGATATCTGTCCAACACTGATTTGAAAAAATTATCAATGAGGTCGGCGCTGTGATGCAGCAGGTTGAAGCCCCAGCCTGCAGTGCCAGCATCCCATATGGGCATTCGTTCAAGTCCTGGCAGCTCCACTTCCAGTCCAGCTCCCTGTTAATGTGCCTGGGAAAGTAGTGGAGGATGGCCCAAGTCCTTGGGACCCTGCACCCACATGGGAGACTTGAAGGAAACTGCTGGCTTCAGATTGCCTCAGCTCTGGCCACTGTGGCCATTTGAGGAGTGAACCAGCAGATGGAAGACCTCTCTCCGTCTCTACCTCTCTCTGTAACTCTTTCATATAGAACAAATCTTTAAAAAATCATTACCAAAAAACTATCAGTGTACCTTACCCACCACGATCCTTTATTGGAAGAGTAAAGGGTAAAACAACTTAACATTTTGTAATTGATGTTAAACATCTTGTGTATCTTCTTCCTAATATTCTGTATACTAAAGTACATTTTAAACTGAAATTTGCATGTGTAATTCTGCATCCTTTTATCTCTTGATATAGCAAAAACATGCTAGACTTCTTACTCATCAGCACACACTCACGTACTCCACTAACGGCTGTGTCACGATGACTTGGCCTCTTCCCACCACTGAACACTCAGGTTGTTCATGATGTTCTGACATTATAAACAACGCCATAATCATTTTTAAGCAGTTTTGTCTCCATCTTTGCTTCTCTCTCTGGCAGTGATTCTCAGAATAAACTTACTTGACCACAGGGTATGGCCAAACTGCCTTCTATAAAAAAAAAGCAATGTACAAACATTCCACCTGATACCATCTTCTCAAACCCAGCACTGTGCTGTAGCAGGTGAAGCCACCGCCTGCAGTGCTGTCGGGTCCCAGCTGCTCCGCTTCCTATCCAGCTCTCTGCTGTGGCCTGGGAGAGCAGTGGAGGATGGCCCAGGCCCTTGGGCCCCTGCACCCACATGGGAGGAAGCTCCTAGCTCCTGGCTTCAGATCAGCCCAGCTCCGGCCATTGCGGCCATTTGGGGAGTGAACCAGCGGATGGAAGACCTCTCTCTCTCTCTGCTTCTCCTCTCTCTGTGTAACTCTGACTTTCAAGTAAAATAAATAAATACATATTTTTTTTTTTAAAGTAAGGGCAGGGCATCTTAACAGTTAAGAACTGTATGTCATTGTTGTTTTAAACTGCATTTGATTACGATATAATTTAACTTTTAAAACATTTATTACTACTTGTATTTTGTTTGAACAGCCACCTGAGAAAACCCAACTAAATTTTATGCGAAAGAAATCTGTAAACGGACAGTCAAGTTATAACGTGCAAGTGATACACATTCAGCAGAAACTACTCTGAATCCTTTTCTGGGCTAGGAAAACTGCATTGAGACACTCTCTCGCAAGGCTATGCCACAGCAGGATCACAAACGGAAACAACTGCTCTTAAGTGTGCTCTGTTGCTAAACTACAGTGCTAAGAAAGCCAGGTGTATCCAACGCATTGCTCATTTATGGTATTTTCAACCTAGGATGACATCATGAGGACATAACTCCCATCATAAGTCAAACTGCACCAGCATGTTTTGATTATAAAAGATCATTATAAGGGCTGGACACTGTGGTATAGTAGGCTAAACCTCTACCTGTGGCACCAGCATCCCATGTGGGAGCTGATTCCTGTCCAGGCTGCTCCTCTTCTGACCCAGCTCTCTGCTTATGGCCTGACAAAGCAGCAGAGAATGGCCCAAGTGCCTGGGCCTCTGCACTCACTTGGGTGACCTAGAAGATGCTCCTGGTTCCTGGCTTCAAATTGGTCCAGCTCTGGCCATTGTGGCCATTTGGGAAGTGAACCAGCAGATGGAAGACCTTTCTCTCTGTCTCTCCCTCTCTCCATCTGTGACTCTATCAAGAAAATTTTTTAAATCTTTTTAAAAATCATTATATGAATATAATGACCTCTTTTATCACACTTTTCTCAAATTGCCTTTCAACTCTATTTCCCATTACTGCTGTAGACAGAGGGTGCTTCCTCAACTCAAGAGCAGGCTATGGGGTGGGCGCTGTGGCGCCTGCAGCACTGGCATCCCATGTGGACACTGATTCCAGTCCCATCTGCTCCACTTCCAACCCAGCTGCCTGCTAATCTGCCTGGGAAAACAAAAGATGGCCCAAGTCCTTGGGCTCCAGCACCCACGTCTTCGGAGACCCAGACAAAGCTCCTGGCTTCTGCCTGGGCCCGCCCCCCGGGCCATGTGGTCATTTGGGAAGTGAATCAGCAGACGAAAGATCTCTCTCTGTAACTCTACCTTTCAAATAAATAAGTCTTTCCAATAGCAGGTTATAATACACTGTCTCCAAGTTTCTTATGGTTTAGTTTTTTCCTCATATCTAATTTAAAATTCTACGTGCCATGCACTGTGCTGTTTGCCACAAACCCTCTCATTTAATTTTAAATACTCTTTAAGTATTATGCACTCCATTTTTAGATTAGACAGCAGCAGCTCAGAAGGATGAAACGACTGGTGCGTGAGCCAGCCCAGTCTCTCATTTCACAGCCCAGCAGTGCCCCCAGGGCAGCACTGTACTCCATGCTGGGCAGCTCAAAACGTTACCAAACCTGGGTAACCTAGGCTTTCTGGTCTGGTCTGGTCTGCTTCCCCTGGGGGTCAGAGAAGCAGAAAAGGAGAGATCAGAAGACACTGCACCAAGGCTCATCTTGAAGAGGAACACGACTTGAGTAAGCTGGTAGTGGGGAAAGAACATGAAGCAGAATAAGCAACAGACGCAAAGGCAAGCGCGAGTGCAGGCAAGGAGCAGAGTCTCAGATGTGCGGCTGGAGGCGGCCACTCGGGATTGCTAGGATTCACGGCACAATGCTAACCGCTCCCGTTTACACCTGCCCACGCCGGACCCAAGACTCATTACTGCATTTCAATGTGAGAAAACAGAGGCTCAGGAGGCTGTGACTGGCCCAGCATCTCAAGGAAGACATGCGCTCAAACTCGGGTCCATTCTTAGCGCAGCCGCCGCTTCACACCCTGCCTCCCACCGTTCACTCCTCTCTTCATGCTCACAATGATATCTGATTCTCCAGATGTCTACTAGGCTTTCTTTATCTCAACTTTATCACTGGATTCCCAGCTGTACATTAAGAACCATGACGAGAATCAAACGAGAAAGCAAATAGAGCACCTAAGATAGCACCTGTTCTGACAGAAGCCAACCACGTGTCTGCCCTTTGCTCTTCTCTCCCCAGTTCATGCTCTCTTGGGAACCAACTGAAATTTCCTTGATGATTCCCCCGTCTATGATTCTCCAGTTCCTCTTCAACCCAGGCAATTTACAGAGAATAAAGGTGATCTTAAACGAACAGTTAAGGGAGTAACAGAGACACAACAAAGCTCTTTAAAATCAAAGACTGATTTCACTCTCATTGAAAAAAAAAAGTGCTTATGGGAGACAATGATCAATTACGAAAGCTTATCACTGTAACTGGTAGCAAATTTTATCCCAAAACACAATGCATTCATACCATTACTATTATTAAAGTTACATATGCTACAAAGTGACCACTCCTAACCTGTCCACTAAATGCCTGATGCAAGACCCCCGTAATGATGTTCAGTTAGCAATTCTAGCGTTAAGATCAACAAGTAAACTCTTACCTCCAGGGGGGAACTGCAGAGGAATCTTGTGAACTGCCGGTCAAGTTTGAAAAGAAACAATTTCATCCAACAAATGGGCAGCAAAAGAGAACACACAGAAAAAGGAATAATTATTACATAATTTTCCAGGAAGAGCATCTAAAGTAAACTCAATGATCTATATAAAATTAAGGATTTCACACACTGTAAAATGCATCCAGAGTATAGAAAGGTTCTAAGCAGCCCAAAGTACAAACTACTTCAATTTGCTTAAATATTCTTCAAAATTTTTTCTAAAAACAAAGTACAAGAAAAACCCTAAAATATTTTTAAGTGTTATCTCACAACTGCTACATAATAAAAATACCATCTAAGGGAGGAATCCGCAAGCCTCCTGACCCTGCATGCCATGAACATTTCAAAAATGCCTAGACAAGACAACACAAACCAAACAGAGAAGCAAGAAAAAGGGAGAGCCAAAGGAAGCCAAAGTCAGGAAAGGAGGCTGGGAGAGGGAGACAGGGCGAGTCCAGCTCCGCAGTTTGCACCCACCCGCCTGAGATGTGCACCCTGGTCTGCCCTTTCTCTTCTCTTAGTCCATCGCCTTCCCGTCCTCTCCCCCTGCTTTCTTTTGTTCTTCTCATCTCTTCTTCCCTTCTGCTTCACTTTTTCCTTTTTTTGACATACACAGGCTTATGGATTACCACTGCACACTAAGGGCGCCATGCCTGCTTCTCAGCAGACAGACAGACAAATCACTGGAAGGGGAGACATAAATAAATGACAATGCAGGTTGTGGCTCAGCTCTGAAACAAAAACTCACAGTAACTTCATTCATGTACATGACTGTAGTTCGTAATGTTTCCAAGATGTTATATTTACAGAAGCAATATTTCAAATCCTTTGGATAATAAATATCCAAGTATATAAACTCTTGATCTTTCTAAATACAAACTAATTACAATAAAATGCAAAGATAGGCTTTCTTCCAAGCACTAACTTCCTCTCCACAACAAACCTAGCCAGAGGGAACACAGATAAATAAGTGTATCTGGAAAAAATATAAATTATCAATGAAATTAAATGATATCTGAGATTTCCTTCCAGATAAACCCGGTGGGGGGAGTGGGGAGGAGTATATGAAAGAAGTGTATAGATACAAACTTTAGTGATGATACTAAATGAGAATAGAAGATGAGTTATACACAAGGGTTCATGATATGATTGTGTCTTGTAAAGTTTCTAAAAATGCTTTACAAAGTTGAGAGAAATCTAAAATAGTTTTCTAAATAAAGTTACAGCTGCAACGTGAACCATGAAGTTAACACTTACATATTTTACAGGTTGAGCATCTGTAATTAAAAATCTGAAATGCTCCAAAACCCGAAACTCTTCTAGCACCGACATGACACCACAAGTCGTATATTCTGCACCTGACCTCATGGGATTGGTTGTAGTCAAAACAGGTACAGTAAAAATACTGTATGAACTTACCTTTGGGATATGTGTGTAAGATAAAAATGAAAAACAAATGAATTTTTAGTTTAGACTCTGGTCCTCTCCCCAAGACATCTCACTGCGTATATGCACATATTCCAAAATTCAAAACACTTCTGGTCCTAAGCATTTCAGATATGAGCTACTCAACCTGTAGCAGAACCTCATCAAAAAAAAACTAAAGACAATCCTAAAATTTCATCACTGCATGCCAAAGCTATGCAATTAACAAGTATCATCTAGTTCCAGATGATAGCATATATTAAAATACAGAGACTGTGAGGATTTTTAAATCAAAATATCAATATGCATTTTAATTAACTGTTGAGAACTTTTTGAAAGTGCAAGATTCGCTAAAACATTAAGTTTTCATAATACTGATATGAAACAAATAAGCTTACTGAAACTGAAAATGCAAGCTCTGTACTCCTGAGTTCTCGCGCAGCAGGCTAACCTAAGAAAGTGCCTGCCTTTACGCCCAAGAGTAGAGTGCCAGCTGAAAGACTAAATTTCACAACATGGGAAACAAAGCACCAGGAATCTTTATTTCAAAATCAGAAATTTTATATTGTAGATTTCTATGGTTTCCCCTGTAAGTGCAAGTTAGCTATTATACAAATCTGTAAATGAACCATCCGTAAATGGCTCAGATTCTGTAGTAATAAAGGAATTATAATAAAAGTTTATTTTTTTAAAGATTTATTTATTTGAAAAGCAAAGTTACACAGAGGCAGAGGCTGGAGGGGGCAGTGGTTTCCATCCACTGGTTCATTCCCCAAGTGGCCGAAATGGCCAGAGCTGGGCAGATGCAAAGCCGGGAACCTCTTCCAGGTCTCCCACGGAGGTGCAAGGGCCCAAGCACTTGACCATCTTCTACCACCTTCTCAGGCCATAGCAGAGAGCTGGATCAGAAGTGGAATAGCTGGGACCTGAACCAGCACCCATATGAAATGTCAGCACTACAGGTTGTGGCTTTACCCACTATGCCATAGTGTCAGCCCCCAAAAGTACTTTCAATAATAGAGAAACTAGGGGGACTTCAAAAAGTTCATGAAATGACATTAAAAGATGTTTATTTTGATGCACAAAAATCTTGAAATGCATGCATGTGATCTAATACTGTCTCAGAAAACTATCTTCTAGAAGCCACAATAATTTACACACCTTTGGCATATGAATGTGTAACACTCATATCACAGCATTTTCAAAATAGACCTAAAAAACTGTTGTCCTGTTTGAGGCTGCCAAAATATGAAATAAATAACTTTTCAATTCCAAAGAAGTAAAAACAGAATAAAAAAATCACAAGCCACACTCCTATTCCCAGGACATAAAAAGATTTCAAGTTCTTTTCCAGTAAGGCACCAGTAAAATACATTGCTACTTCATGTTTCACCTACGTTACTTAGATCTTTCCTAATGAGATTGAACATACTACATGTCCTATAATACTTTGAAAGAGAATAATAAAAAAAAACAAGTATGACTGCAAAATACACCTTGTATATACACTGACATTCATGGCAGAAGAGAGTCCTTTTAACAAATATTACCATGGTATCTGATCAGTGTAAAAAAGATTATGGTTCAGTTTTGCTGTTAACCTAAAATGACTAAAACAAAGACTATTTTTTAAGAAAGAAAGACTATGGAGCCGGCGCCGTGGCTCAATAGGCTAATCCTCCGCCTTGCGGCGCCGGCACACCGGGTTCTAGTCCCGGTCAGGGTGCCGGATTCTGTCCCGGTTGCCCCTCTTCCAGGCCAGCTCTCTGCTATGGCCAGGGAGTGCAGTGGAGGATGGCCCAGGTGCTTGGGCCCTGCACCCCATGGGAGACCAGGAAAAGCACCTGGCTCCTGGCTCCTGCCATCGGATCAGCGCGGTGCGCCGGCTGCAGCGGCGGCCATTGGAGGGTGAACCAACGGCAAAAAGGAAGACCTTTCTCTCTGTCTCTCTCTCACACTGTCCACTCTGCCTGTCAAAAGAAATATAAAGAAAGACTATGACAATAGCCTACTGATACCACTTTTCTAATAGCACCATGAAATAAATAATGGGGTGAGCATCTGTCCTAGTAGTTAGGATGTCCATATCCTGTATCTGAGTGTCTGTGTTCAACGTCCAGCTCTGGATCCTGACTCCGGGCCTCCTGTTAACACTGATTGTAGATAACAGTAGTAATGACTCAAGCAATTGGCTTCCTGCCAAACATGTGGGAAACATGGACTGAGTTTCTGGCTCCCCAGTGTTGAACCCAACCAGGAGTTACTGGGGTACTTGAGACTGAATGTGTGGGTGAGAGCGTGTTCTCAAATATAAAGAAAGAAATAATGACTATAGTTAATGACTTAAGATTCTAGTCTACAAAATACCTTACTGATTTAACAGGCAAGAACATACTACATCATTCCAACTGAAAACAAACAGCCCCTTTGTCTTTCAATCTACCCATTTTAAAGATTAGTTCTAGGAAGTATCCTGACTTAGTATCATTAAAAATATTAATAACCTGCCTGACATTTGGCTTTTCAGACTTAAACTGGTAAGTTTTCTATTAGTAATATTATAACATTATCAATGATTCACTTGATAAAATCCATAAAAATGTTAACTGTGAATTATTATGTCTTGAAATGCTTTTAAGTTTATTTGTTTGTATCTGAAAGGGAGAGAGAAAACGAGAGAGAGAAGGAGGGGAGGGGACACAGAGTCTTATAGAGAAGGTGGGGGGGGGGGGGAGAAAGGAATGAGTGAGCTTCAGTTGGCTGGCTCACTGTCCACAAAAGCTGGGGCTGGGCCAGGCACAAGTCAGGAGCCGAAACTCCAGCCCAGTCTCTCAGATGTTGGCAGGGATCCAAGTATTCGAGCCATCATCCCCTATCTTCCCAAGGTGGGCATCAGCAGGAAACTGGATCAGAATCAGAGGCAGGACTCAGTCCCATGCACTTAATAGGGGATGCTGGTGTCACAACTGGTGGCTAACCTGCTGCACGACAACACCCACCCGATGTCTTGAATGTAACACAAGACGTGTGGTCTATATTTAGAATCAAGGCATAAAAGACATCAGCACCATTTTGAAAAATCCTTTAGGTCTCTGAAAAGAAGGGACACACACAGATCTGTGCTCGGTTTCACAGCTCCTGACTGACCTGGCTTCTTTTCAAGCAATCTTATTTACCACTCCTGCTATCATTATCTACTTCCCATTGGAAGCCTGAATCTAAACACCCTATTCCTCCAGAGAAGCATTTTAAATGCTTACCACTCAAAAAGCCCAGGAAAAAAGGCAAAAACAGGCAAACGGAGTTCATCAAACTGAGCAGCTTTTGCACAGTGAAGGAAGCAACAGCGAGAAGAGACAAACTAGAGAATATCTGCAAGCAGTACTGACGAGGGGGCAACATCCAGAATCTGTAAGGAACTCAAACAGCTCAGCAGCACAAAAACAAACCATCCAGTTTAAAAACGGGCAGTAGATACAAGCAAAGGAAGAAATACAAATGGACAACAAGTACATAAAGCAATGCTCAACATCACCAACCAGAGAAATACAAAT